CCTAGCTCACTTGTTTATGTGAAAATGGTCCTTTTTCTTATACTATTGAAAATAAAACATTTTATAGCCACAACACAATACGTTCGAATGCATACTAGTGCGTTTTAAAAGTATACTTTGCTTGATAATCATTGTTTCTTGCTGTCGCCTAAGTGTTTTCTAATAATTTTTATTACTAAGGTTTAGCCCAGAGAGGAAGGCCCACAGGCACCCCATGGCGTGGCTGCCGTTCGGAGCCGGACCTCGTAACTGTATCGGGATGCGGTTTGCCCTGATGGAGGCTAAGATCGCGTTGGCGGGCCTCCTCAAGAGGTTCTCCATCCAGGCGTGCCAGGAGACACAGATCCCACTGAAGAAAGTAGAGCGCGCAACAATCGTGCCCGAGAGTGGAGTCATAGTGAAACTAATCCGCAGAGAAATGTAGTACTTTTAAAAAGACAGCCTCGTACGAAAACACACCTAAATTAGACTATAATTACCATAACGAGGTCCGAAGTAACTATGACGTCACTGACTAAGCGATTGGCAATATTGAATGATATCTGAGACACTGCTTTGCTTAAAAAAAATTAGAAATCATAATAAGGACCCATTTATATTTTTGTAAAAACAAGGCATAATACAGGTAGTCAAAAGGCAAAATTTTATTGATTTTTCTTAAGGATTATGTTAAATGCATATGTCTTATTATTTTGAATTTCAACTTAAGTGCAGTATAACTTTGTTTGTACAACTTACTTCAGAATATTATCTTCATAATGTAAAAAAATTATCTGTGACACACACTTTTACGGGTACCAAAACATACTTGTAATTGTGTTATATATATATATATATATATATATATATATATATATATATATATATATATATATATATTTTTTTTTTTTTGATGGTTCCTCTCACTGTGTTATATAATGTAAGTACAGTGTGGTGTCCTCGTGCTATGTGTTATAGAGTTCTGTCTAGCTTGATGATGATAAGAATACTAGTAGTTGCCATTCTAGTTACCTGCCATACTGTCTCTTTGCAAATTATTAATCTTGTTAAGTAAGTTATCTTAATTAGTATCACAGTATTATTATGTGCAGTAACAATGCAATATTTTCTGAATAAGTGGAAGACAGTTTTACTTTTTGACTTAATATTTACATGGGACTAAAATACAGCTTCAGTATTGAAAAGTGCTCAATGTCTTGGAAATAGCAACCAAGTTAATTTTGCTTCTCTCGACCTAAAGAATGCATTTCAGCAAAAAAAATGTTTACAGGAAAAAACATTGCAGGGTTAGCGTTCTGGCTACTCGACTATAATGTTATCGATCAGTGATAAAGGTTCACATTCGTAATAATAATATAATGACAGGCCGTATATTTTTTTATGAAAAGATTATTAATGAAAGAAATGGAAGAGGCAAGGTCGATTTTCACGTACGACCGGCGCACACGGCGAGGTACGAGCTCAGCTTAGTGACTTGCCGCCTGACGTACATGTAAGCTACAGGTATATTGTGTATGTTGTGAATATTGAGCTCCAATGTATACCCAGTTCCTGTCTGCTTCGGGGAGGTAATCTCACCAAACATGGCAAAATGGGAATTTTTTTCGCGGTCCCGTTGCTTCAGCAGACTACAGGCAGTGTGCGCGTGCCTGTGGAGTACAGTAAGGAGCAGCTACAGGCCAAGCACACTGGATCCCTGATAAAGCTAGGTGCCTTGGTGTACATTGACAGGCCCGTAGCCAGGGGGGTTCGGGGGGGGGGGGGGGTTCGAAAACACCCCCCCCCCCTTTTTTTTGCTGGGAAAAGGTCCTCTTTGGGTAAAGTTTTATCTAGGTACGTGAAGGTTTCATGGTGAAAATTCCACTTTTTCAGAAAAAGAAGCTCACTTTTGAAATTGCTGTCTACGGGCCTTATTGGTGTTCTGTAGTCGTGATAGAAGTCTGAATCAGACTTAGTGTTTGCAGGAACTGTTATTGTAACATTAATAATTTATCCGGGAAATATTATTAAAATGTATTATAATGTATTCAGGGGTCCTTTATGCACTTATCGCAGCTGAGCTCTCCCTAGCATATTTTTACTCTTGCCAAATCGCTGGAATCAGAAAGTGAGTAGAAATGCAAAATTAGTATAATTTCTAAAAATTGTTTTCATTTTCTTCAAAACAAAGTGCGTAAACTTAAAACTTGTGACGAAACAAATATTCTAGCGAAGGCTCAGCGCGGTAACCTTGACCATAAAATGTGGCAGCTTTGTTTTGATTTTAAATATTTATATATTATGTATTACAAAAATTAATAAGGAACCCGAATTATGAGGTTTCTGAGGGTGTTATTTAATAATTTAATTCAATTACGTATTTCTCCGCATGAAATCTGATTAGTTTATCGCCCGTTTATCACGTTATTTGAGTGGTACTTAATCGTACTATAATAGGCCGGCCTTGGCTTTCACTAAAGGATTACGCAAACAAATATGTAATGCTACATTTTGCAACCGCAACGTACTTTTTTTAAAACTAATACCAATAGTAGGATTTCTTGACGGGCAGTCTATCACAATATCTCCGCGACAACCTGATTGCGTTTTTATGCCTCTATCATTCAATGCATTCAAAGCAGCCAATAAATGTTGTTTGAAGAGGAATAATACATTTTACAATAAAAAAAACGAGCACATTTCGTGCCAAGGACGTCGGGGATTTGGGATACCGCACGGTTCTGCTGAACCATTCTGCTGTCGTATGTGTTTTTCAATGATCTAAATCTACAGTCCGTAAGACTGGACAAGTGACCAAATATCTGTTGCAATACCATTGTATGAGAAATGCACATTACAGTAAAGGGTTATTTGATATGCCCTTTTTGGAGTCATTAGTACATGATTCTATCATAACAATTTGAAACACCGTCATGATTTTTCGAAAAGGCATACAAATTAATGCCTCTGACAAACAAGGCAGCAATACTGTCAAATATACAGACAAAAAAAAGAAAGAAAAAAAAAGATGCAAAAATAGGTCATTTTGTCAATTTTGATGCAATAATAAATAATGCTTATAATAGCACAGTCAGTCAACACTGAATTTTAATCATGCACAACAGGTAATATGGTTAATAACAGGAACGGATCCAGAGATATTTTCTGACAATGTTCCAAAGTATCTTTTTTGATCCATCCTCCATTTTTTATGGTCTTCCAACAGAACAAAATAGATACCCGTCAATGTAAACCCAGAGAGAGATCAAACTCACATAATGAAAGCCCCAACATTTGAAAAATGATGACAGTCCATAAAATAATATTACATAATGTTTAAAGACTAAGTTCCAATACAACTGCTTATGTAGAAATACAGAAAATGTGCAGAGCTTCAGGTGGATGGGAGTTAAAAATAACATTGTAAAAATGCCAGTGTTTGAGAAAAAATTGAAAAGAAAACAACATATAATTCCAATAAAGCTGATATTCAAACTTTAAATCTTTGAGTTTGATATATATATATATATTTTTTTTTTTTTTTTGAAAGCTTATTAGCAATATTAAACAACATTTACCTGCATAATTATCACTGCTTCCTTATTATGGACACTGTAATGTAGCAGAGAGCTTAACCTTTGGGAGTTAACATCGAAATATCAACAAGTTTTATGTAATCTCATTTTATGGCCACTGCCTTAATAGGCAAATGCCTTAATAGCTCTGAACTTAGCCTAGTGATTACCCAAGGGGAAATTACAGACTTACCACACAAATGTGTCTAGCAAAGGTCTTCAGGCCCATAAGTCACACCTTAAGCAAAGCAGAAAACACAAAATAGGAGACTGCCAATTCTGATGCAATAATACATTATGCTTAACTGCACAGTCAACATCAAATTTTAAAGCAATAATAACTCTTCGTTTCGGCCAAAAAATGAATTTTCCTGGAGTAAACAACAATTTTCCCATGCTTACCAATAGTTAATGAATCCATTTTTACATTCAAAGTTAGTCCCTGGTTTTTTTCTAAAAAGTTGGGTTTTTTGTTAAAATCTCTTAAGAGATTTTAACAGAGTATAGACATCAGTGGAGGTCACGTGGTCCAAAGACAAGTTCAAATATCAGAATAAAAGCTATAACTGCTGTTTTTGTGGTAAAACAGAATATATTATATTTCTATGAGTTATTCACAAGGTTTTTATTGTGAAATATAGGTCTCATACAAAGAGTTATTATGCCTTTAATTATGCACAACAGGTAACACCGATGAAAGTAAAAGCATAAAGCTTCAGGCCCATCAGAGTTCAAGTTTATACTTAGAAAGTGCCAGAATGAGAAAAATGAAAATTTCACAAAAAATGTACAAATTTAATAACAATGATAATCATATAGAGCTGGTTTTCTAATTTGAGCTGTATTTCAATCCTAAGAACCATTCTTGTAAGTTAAAAAATAGTAAGTAACACAGTTTTCTTTCCATAACGTTAAAGGTGGCAGTGCACAAAGAAGGTTTTTTGTCAACTTTGATGCAACATTACATAATGATTAACTGTATAAATACCACCAATTTTAAATATCTACTATTAAAAACATGGACATTAAGACAATTTGAGTACAACTAGACCTTATGCCCAAGGGAGCTGTAAGTCCCACATTGAAAATTCCAATATGAGAAAGACAAACATTTTCACAAAAAAATGTATAACTTCCAGAGAATTATCTAACGAGACAGATTTTCCAATTGAAGCCTTATTTCAGTCCTATGTTTCTTTCCTGTAAGTGTGAGAAGAGTAAGTAACATGGTTTTCCCATCACGGTCACTACGGAGGCAGTGCCCGGAATAGGGTTTTGTTCAATTTTGATGCAATATTACACAATGCTTGACAGCATAATAACCATCAATTTTTTTAAATAATAAAATAAAAGTATCATGGATATTCAGAAAATGTGACTAGCCCGTAGAGTTCAGAGTCACACCTTAAAAATCCCAAAATGTAAACAAGAGTAGCTGTATTGAAAAGAGTTTATTTCCATATTTATACCTTTTTACATGAAACAAAATAATCAATTTACTGTCATTTTTTTATACAGAAATGATCAATTAAAAATGTTGTCAAAGGAAAATCAAAAGAACAATTTTAAATGTCCAACTTGCTCCATTCTGAAATTCTTAACTAACAAACTTAACTAACAAACAAACTAATAAACTAATTGTTAAGAAGCAGGAAATGTCAAAACAACACTTTTATCTAATTAGTTCTATAATGAGACTGTTAACATGCCTTAGAATTTAATCTGAAGAAAAACCACTAATAATACTAAAAAAGGCATAACTTCATCAAAACTTAACTGATCAATTTAATTTTCAAACTTGATCTGTACATACTAGTCAGACTGATCACTCCTGTGAGTTGCAAAACAAAAGGCTGATCGGTTTTCCTGAAAATGCATCATCAGTGTTGCAGATATGCAGAAAAAAAACAGTATACCTTTTGTGAAAATGATCTGATCAAGCTGATTTTCGAATTTTACCTGCGTATTATGAATATTCATCAGTTCTGCAAGTTTCAAGGCAAAAGGTTAAATGGTTTTCACTTATCGTGTTATCGGTGTTGCATATATGCTGAAAAAAGTGAGAAAAAAGCATAACTTCCATAAAAATGGCCCACTCATGCTTATTTTCGAACTTGACCTGCGTGTTATGAATATTCATCAGTTCTGTAAGTTTCAAGACAAAAGAAAAAACGGTTTTCCACTTATCGTGTTATCGGTAAAAGTACGCAGCGAAGGCGACAGCGACGACGGCGACGACAGACG